ACTGTAAAATCAGTAAAAACTGAGTATTTTCTTGTTTTGAACTCTGCAGTGTAAAAAGTATTAGAATAGTAAATAGTAAAATATATAGTGTCAGAAATTGCAGGTGTTTTGTAAGTTTGGGGAAAAAAACTTTTTAACACATCTGGGGTTGGGTTTATAAAGCTTGCCTACGCCACTTTTCACGCAAAGGTTCTGATTTCTAAAAGCCAAACTTGGTGTGAAACTGTGCGGTCCCTCACGTCAGCTCTGACCCATGTGTACGCTCATTTTGGAAACAGGAAACTGGCGACACAGATGGTGAAGTGAGGAGTTAAACCAACACTGCATCAGGATCACTGTCAGATTATTCATTTCACTTCATAATCAAACTTGGATTTCAGATCAACTTTATCATCCGCTTTCTTAATAATATTATTTATGCTTCTGCTGATGAGCCATGAGGACCTTTCAAATGAAAAAGACCTAAACCGACTTAGAAAAGTGGTGAACTTATTTCTAACTGAAAAAAATGGAGCAATGGTTGCGTTATTTAATTGTTTTTAACGTCCTACAGGCTTTGAGAAAAAATTAATTGGAAGCTGAGTTTTTGAAACATCTGTATACCTGATGAGGGAAATTCTGTGTAAATTACAGACAATCTGCTCATGTGAGCAACCGTCATCACCTGTCCTCCATGACGGAGCGCGTGCCTGAGCCAGCCAAACGGTTTTGTTGACAGTAATCAGCTGACTCATTTAAATTCACCTTAACATTCATGAGGCACTTTGCTTCGACCATTTTTGCTGAGTGTGGGCGTGTAGAAAGAAGAACAGGAGGCTGGAGCTTGTGCAAAAACTCTGAGGTGCAGTTGTGATTTATGAAGGAAAATTGCTTGAAGGTGCACGTGCAGTTTTATAAATCAGATATTGTTTTACGCGTGCCATTTTTGCCTTTTGGCCAAATCACGTACATTTTTAGAATAAATTCTACACTTTACAAACGAGGCCCCAGATTATGTTGATTGTCTTTAAAAGTCACTTTATGCTTTCTTTAAGCTCAAATCTCAGGTTTCTGATTTTAAGAATATTTGATGTYTCGTCCTGCAGAAGAAGTACCGTCAGCTGCCGGACAGACTCAAGTTTACCTCCGTGACTGACTCTCCTGATATTGTCCACGCCAAGACGAGCTATCAGCAGTGCAGTGAGGTACGTTGATGAATCAGTTCAAAGCCTGACTGATCCTTTGTTGCAAAGGTTGTTACGAGTGGTACTGATGCCCTGTTCATGTCCTCCATGCTGCCCACTACAGAGGCTGTACAAATCTGGAAAGAATGACGACATGCATAAATACACCTTACACCCAGATGACCCGGACTTTGTAAGAGCCAAGCTCAACGCCCAGCAGATTAGTGATGTAAGGCACACGTTCATTCTATATCACAAAGGCAAATATGAGCTCATAATTATTTAGACTTTATGTCAAGAGCTGCTGACATCTCTGCATGATGTTTTTGTCTTTTAATTAAGAAAGTTTACAAGGCGTCCGGGGAGCAGGTGAAGACTTCAGGCTATGACCTGAGACTGGATGCTATTCCCTTCCAAACTGCCAAGGCCTCCAGAGAAATTGCCAGTGATGTAAGTTAATGTTAATGTCTTAAAATGTGATAAAATGAACATTTGTGACACCCAGGAGCATCCCCTCCCCAAGAAATGTTTTAAAAATCTACTCMAAACTATGCATTTTCCAACCATTTGAAAAGAATTCTTCTAAAATCATAGGAACCATATACAACAAAAAATTAGTATATTATGAAGGGAGAACACTGAAAACTAGTCTTTAACCTGAACTTTATCTGAAAATCATACTTATTTAATCATTACCCTTATTTTTTTTTACACTTTAGGCCTCATGAGTTAGTTTTGACTGCATCATTAGATACTTTTATCAATCAATAGGAAGTTGCGGGGTCCTAAAACTCATCGAGTTACGCTTCCTTACAAAATCTGCTCTCTACCTTACACTATGAAGTAAAGGGAAAGTGACAGATTTATGATCATATTTCAGTTGCAAACTCATATTCTGGCTACATTATACAGAATTTGTAGGCACTTTTTTTGTAAAAAAAAAATGCTGCATAAAAAAAACCAAAATTATTTAGGGGGGCTTGAAAATGTTTTAGGGGGGCTTCAGCCCCTCTATAATAGGCCTAGTGGTGCCACTGATGACACCTAATTTCAAACTAAGAAGTCCTGCTAAATTTGACTTCTTAGTTTTTTTTATGAATATTTTAATAGTGCATCATCAAGGCATCAGTGTCCACATGGGATTTTGGCTGAATGAGTAGGAAAACCYGTCCCTCTTTGGAAAATTATAACTCCAGTATACCTAACAGTAGAAAGATGGTTGAAAGTTTTCAGCAATCAGTCTATTTGATTTTTTTTTTAAGATTTTACCTTGAGATGTTGATAGCATCACATTTTTTGAGCGGTCTAAATGTTCCAGAATTTGCACATCGTATTTCTACACTTCCATATATGATCAATATGTAGCCATTTTTGTCTTCTGTCACCTAGTGTTTTTTGCCACTATAAGACACTGTTTTATCTCAAATCCTCCCATCATGTCGACACCCAACTCTCATAGACTCCCATTGTATCGGAACCCAGAATTTTGTCTTAAAAATGAAAGTGAAGAGTTGTTAATTTGCTATATCTTCTACATAAAACACTGTAGGCACACAAAAGTGTACCAGTTTAACCAACAGATATTTTGCTTCTTAATGTTCGAGGATATTTAAATATAAAACTAGTTCTTAAAAAGCAGTTGTTTGTTAATGAATTTCCTCTGACCATTTACGGTTTTACTCTATCACTGAAATAATACTTTTCAGTTTGATGTTAGCTAAGATGTCAGTGTTGTCCAATAGTTTCGCTACAAGGAGTCTCATCTGAAGGACAAGGGCCACCAGGTAGGCCTGCGCTGTGTGGAGGATGACCCAAAGATGGTGCACTCCCTGGCAGCCAGCAAACTCCAGAGCAACCTGGAGTACACGCGTCAGTCTAAGGAGGAGCGAGCTCACTACAAAATCAGCGCGGACCAGCCCGAGTTCCTGCACGCCAAGAAGAGCCAGGCTCAGGCCAGCGACCTCGCCTACAGGCACAAGCTCCACGACTACACCTGTGACCCTGAGCAGCTCAACGTCAAGCATGCGAAGCAGGCCTACAAGCTGCAGAGTGATGTAAGCCAAGATTGGAAAGTGCTTATTCAGACTTAAAACTGCAACATTTACTGGTCAACTAGAGCAGGGGTTCTCAAGGCATTTGGGTCTGGGGACCCCTTAAGGGCCAAAAAAATTCCAGGGACCTCCTCATAAACCCCATGCTGTTTTAAAAGATAATTTATCATTTCAACCCCTAAATTCCATGGAAATATTTATTTTTATTACGTTTATTATGTTTGTTTTATTAGTTCATTGTTCTCCATGCATTTTTAAAAATAAAAACCAAATTAACAATTTAGTAAAAAATTTTGAGGACCCCAAGATACCTCTCGCAGACCCCTGGGGATCCAGGGACCCCAGTTTGAGAACCTCTGAACTATAGGATTGACCAGTAAAGTTGTTAAAGCTAAAAAATCTGAACACAGGCTAAAAGCAAAACACCAGCAAAGCAAGACACGAACAAAAAGCTAAAAACACATTATTAAAAAGCTAAACATAGTAAAAAGATAGTTTAAAGCCAAAAGTAGCAAAAGTGTAGCCAAAAGTAACAAAAAGTAACTTAAAGTAGCAAAAGTGTTGCTAAAAGTAACAAAAAGTAACTTAAAGTAGCAAAAGTGTAGCTAAAAGTAACAAAAAGTTACTTAAAGTAGCAAAAGTGTAGCTAAAAGTAACAAAAAGTTACTTAAAGTAGCAAAAGTGAAGCTAAAAGTAACAAAAAGTTACTTAAAGTAGCAAAAGTTTAGTTAAAAGTAACAAAAAGTTACTTGCAAAAGTATAGCTAAAAGTAACAAAAAGTAACAACGTAGCAAAAGTGAAGCTAAAAGTAACAAAAAGTTACTTAAAGTAGCAAAGGTTTAGTTAAAAGTAACAAAAAGTTACTTGCAAAAGTATAGCTAAAAGTAACAAAAAGTAACTTAAAGTAGCAAAAGTGTTGCTAAAAGTAACAAAAAAATTTAGCTAAATATAGAAAATGTCAGCTGAAAGCACTAAAAAGCTAGTTAAAACAGCAAAAGGTTAGCTTAAAGTAGCAAAAGRCTGGCTAAACCCTGAAAACAGCTAAAAGGTAAAAATGAAAAAAGCGAGCTGAATGCTAAAAGTAGTGGAATGATAGCTAAAAATAGCAGAACAGTAGTTAGCAACTGAAAGTAGCAAAGCGATGGCTAATAATAGCAACAAAAGTAGAGCAAGCACACTGAAACAGATTAAAAAAAACGTTTTTCATTCATTGTGGAGATCTTGTATTTCTATGTGGAAAAGTTGTAAATTCAGTCAAATACTTTGAGAAGTATTTAAGTTACAAAAGCAAAAAGTCATTTCTTGAATGTGCCAAACGTTTTAAAACATGAACAGCTATAAAAAAAAAAAGTGTGCAGCAGTATGTAGACTGCAGAAACTGGACAGAAAAAGGAAAACGTTGTGAATGCTGGAAGCATTGTATTGAGCGTTTCCTCTGGGTGCAGGTGAACTACAAGTCGGACCTGAACTGGATCAAAGGGGTAGGATGGACCCCTCCCGGCTCCCACAAGGCCGAGCTGGCTCGACGAGCTGCAGAGCTGGGCTTCGCTGAGGGAGCTACCACTGAGGAGGCGATTGCCAAGTATCAGCACATGATGATGGTGAGGGGCCATGAAGGACGGATCCTTGATACGATAATAGAATAAACAGTTCATGTTTAAACCYGCCCCATGTCTCCTTCTTTCAGCTGCATCACCAGCAGCAGATGGAGCAGCAGCAGCAGCAGCAGACTTCAGAGCAGGTGGAGACCAGCGAGGAGGTTCAACAAGGCGTCAACATGGACGCCATGGAGGTCCTTCACGTCAAGAGGAAGAAGACCACCCAGACGGTCCAGAAAAAATCCTCCACCRTCACGACTTCGTTCAGATCCATGGAGAAGAAATCCAGCTCCTCCTCATCGTCCTCCACAGCAGCTATCCAGAACACAGTGAAAACAAATCTGTCCAGTAAAGCTGCGATAGAGAACGCATAAAGCAAAGGTTTTTTTTGTAAGATTAGTGCTCAAAGGCTGCACTTGGAAAAAAGCATGTTTTTTTTTTGATAAAATGATTATTGTGAGATATGTGGGATTTTGCAATATTGAACTGCTGTAGCTGCTATGAAGGAGATTAAGCARGTTGAACATGGATAGGACTTGTGAGGTAAAAGAATAGATAACGTACGTGCAACAAAAAGGGATTTTTTGGTAATTCTCTCAAAACTGTTGATCATTTTAAAGTTTATTTTTAAAAAAGGACCATTGTCAAATCCAAAGGCAAAGAAAACAATTGAGGTCGTTGGACAAAAGAACGCCAAAACAGAAGGAAATGCTGATATGAACGTTTTCATTAGATTTTGTTTTGGGTACTGTCAGGGAAGAGGGACAGCTGGACCAGGGTTTGTTATGTGGCCAGCAGTTCAGAATGTTTTAAACTGTTTTATCTTTTATAAAACGCAGGTGAACGATGCACAAAAAWGTCCCTGCAGCCATGTAACCTGAGAAACTGGAGCTAGGCTCTACTTGGAACAGGCCTACTGAAATCATGAACATACTTTAGTCTGACGGGTTCAGCTTTGTGAGTTTGTAATGATGCCACTTTAACTCAAAGCTGGGCTGGGAGTAAAACACTTATGTATTATTACTGTTTCAATAAAGCTTTGTCAGTCAAATCCATCCAGTGACTCATGAGATATTTTATCAGACATAAGAAGACATGTGCAAAAACAAATTTCCACACTACTATTATTATTTTTTTTATTTAAACAGTGATCACTTTCCACCGGGCACAAGATCATCTCAATAATGCAGCATTACATTGCCCTAAATATACATGGGAAATATGTGGAGCGGAGTTTTAATCAACCCCGATGCTTCTCACAATACTTCCCTTATCCTTAAAGGAAGTTTTTTCTCCCCTAACGACGTGCTCAAAAAGTAATCAGGCTGCTGAGTCCAAAGGGAGAGTTTGTAAACCATACGTTCCATTTAACCGTGTCTGATTTCAATGCACACAACACTCCAAACTGTCCACGATGGCCCCACCGGCACGCCAAACCTGCCGCAGCCACAACAAGTGCCTCAAACGCTGACCGATGAACAGAAATTCATCTCATGTTTCGTAATCGTGGCGTCACAGTGTTCAGGTCAGGCTAATGCTGATTTACAAAAGAGCCAATCTGAACTCCAGGCGTTCACGTTTCCATTGCAATGTCCCCAATTCGCCAAACTGTAAGACGGCTTCAACGCGCAACTCGCTGTTCTCAGCCTCAGGGAACGTGGCAATTCACAGGTTTTAAACCAGAAACAGGAAGGCAAGTTTAAAAAAAAAGATTAAAATTATATATAAATACAAGCAGGAGCAAAGTCTGCAGCACTAGTCAGTCACTATCAAAAGAGTTCATAAATAAGTTACAGCATATCAAGATCTGTGGGGTTTTGATCTCTTGGTGCTCGTGGAGTTTTTCTTTTTCTTTTTGTTCGTTGAAGTTTCGCCCTCCTCGCAGCGTTTGTTCATGTGTACTCAGATTTGCGGATGTAGCTGGAGGGCACGTATCCCCGCCTGCCTCCGTCCGCCTCCCCCAGCCACCACTCGCTGTTGCCGTTCAAGTCCTGGAACTCGAGGACCCGCAGCCGCTCGTTGGCGGAGATGCTCATCTCGTTGGAACAACGGGCCTCGAAAGAGTACAGGGCATAATAAATCTAGGAGGAAACAAAAAAGAAGTTWATTGATTTAGCACAGACGTGTCGGCGTTTTATTTGTAGCAGTTTTGGACAAACATTGAAAACAGCACAAWGCTCAGAGACGGCTTCGACTCGTTTGCTGTGTTTTGAAAAGCCTCACCTGATGGCAGTTCAGGTCGCCTTCTGGTTCCGGCTCGCTGCGCTCCTCCAGCGTGKGCGCAGGCTTCCTGTAGCTGCCGGCGTCTCCATTCCTCCACTGAGGGGAGCTGTAGCCCTTGTCTGCGTGTCCGTGCTGCCTCGAACGGCTGTTTTTCTGTGACGAAGACGAGTCCGTCTCGGAGAAGTCCGACATCTCGCGGAGTTTCCTGTCRTGCCTGGAATCGTACGAGTCTCTGTGACCGCCCGAGTGCCGGGGGGGCGTCTCGGCGTCTCTGTGACCGGGGGGGTTTCTGCGCATTTGTTCTGAATGGTCTGTGCGGTTGGACTGGTTTCGGGGCGAGGCGCTCGTGCTCTGGTGGGTGTGCTCGGCGTCGGGGGCGTCTCTGTGGTGACTCTTGCGAGACGAGGTGGACTCAAGCCACGGCTGYGGCGACGACTGGCTTTGGGGTTGCGATGTAGAGAAGCTGACGGTGGCCGCCTCCTGGTTAAAGGTCAAGGTGCTGTTGCTGTTCTGGCGGGAGAAAACGGGGGAGGAGCCGCCATAACCAGATTCGTTGGACGACTGGCTCTCGATAGAGGCGTCCGAGTGACTCCTGCGTGGGTTGTACGGTTTCAGGAAGGAGCTGTAGACGAAACCCTTGTTCACTGCAAAAGGAGAATAAATATAAACAGATTAGCAAATTTAACACTTCGCTACGTTTTCTTTTAGATCTAATAATAAAATACCTCCGTTATCAATCAGCCAGCGGTTGTGGCTACCCAACGGGTCCTGCTGCTTTATTACACCGACGAGATCTCCCTCTTGGATAGAAACATCCATATCCTGAGCAGCATTAAAGTTCCTCTCAGCTTGGTAAAGCTTCTCAGGTCCATAATTAACCATAAGTTCAGCACGATGCTCATCTGTCTGCGCATTAATGATGGGCTGAAAAGAWTATTTTAAAAAATGTGATTAGGTAAGTTTTAAAACTGTCTTCCTTTTTTTGTTGAAAAAAATAAACTTACAGGTCCCTGCAGCTGCTTCTTGGAGGTCGGCTTCTCCAGCGTTTTCCTGTCAACCTGTTTTCTTGCAGTTGTGGCCGGAGGCAGGTTCTCTGGGCAGAAGCTGAAGCTCTGAAGCAGTCGAAGAACTTGGCTGTACTCCTCCTGAAACTGGGTGATCAGGTTTCCTTCTGTGCAGACTTTGTTGGAAAACTGCAGAAAACAAAAGAAGGCTTGGTTATCATCAGTGTGGAGACAATAATTATTAACAAGCTTAGTGTGCAAAACACCCAAATAAATAAATTAAATTTAAAAACTAAAAAAGGCAAGATCCCAACCTGCAGGAGRGGCCCGAGCTCTCCGAGCGTGGTCTTCATGAAGTCCTTCTGCACCTGAGCGAAGGCCTTCACGCAGTCCTGGAACAGACCCTCGGCCACGCTGTTGAACGTCTTCAGCTCGTCCAGCAGCTGGGCGTTCAGCGCCTCGTAGTTGTTGCGCGTCACCTGGAGCTCGTCCTTGACCCGGCGGTCCTTCAGGCGATCGGCGCGCTCCTTGCAGTTGTCGTAGTCGAGCAGCTTGTCGAAGCGCTTCTGGATGAGCTTGTGGGGGCCGGCGAACATGACGAGGAGCTGGGAGAGCGGCTGGATGACCAGCTCCTCTGTGTGCTCCTTCTGCTCAGGAGAAGGGACAGATGTGTCGTCAGATCTTATTCTGGTTAGTCCAAGGGTCAGACTTACCTGGACCTTTAACTCTTAAAAATCTTTTATTTCCTTAAATCTTTTAAAGGAGACCAATTATGGGTCTTAGAAATTTTTATGGTATGTCTGTGGGCTATCCAGACCATGTTCATTCGATTTAATGCACAAAATAATTCTCAGATAATAAAATTTCCCATTTTCTATTTCTGCCTGCTCTGACTTCCGTTCAGAAGAGCTGTTTATGTTAATGAGCTCTGTTGGTAACGCCCTCCAAAAATCTGTTGACATTAACTCCGCCCTCCAAAGCCAGCTTTTACGTTAGCATGGCTAATAATAGCAGAAGCTCCGTTGTACAACCATATGAGACCCAGAGGCAGAGTCGCAGCTTCTTTTTATTTTTTCTCCTCCTCCTCTGCTCTGCGCTCACTCTGCATGCTGTTACCAGAGCAGGGAGCAGCAGCGGTCAAAATACCTCAGAAACTTGAACAAATAGGCTTTAACAAGGCTTTAATAAGCTACACAATAGAGGTACATGAGAAAACATGTTCATAACAAATGAAAATAAATAAATAATTAAATTGTGTCYGTGCCAGTCTCAAATCCGGGTCTACCRCTCTCTGGTCCAACACTCTACCCATTGCCCTTTTGGAGGCTTGTTGTTAAATGAGCTGCACATTGCACAACAACAACTGTGACGGCTTTTTATATTGAGGAGGTGGAGTCTCACCCGGGGGTTGCTAGGTAAGGGGCTGAACGCAGGTTCAGGTGGGTTGTCGTACGGCTTGTGACATCACAAAATGACGTAAGTATAAAACTTGTCGTTAAAATACATTAAAAATACATTTACTTRCAGTAAATATGCCCCTGGGTGCATTTTTTTGGTCCTAGGACTGTTTTTTTAAGAAGTACATACCCAAAGTTGAGTAAAAAAACCTTTAAAAAGTGAATTTTACATAATAGGTCCCCTTTAAGACACATTATTTTGCCCTGGAGCTTTACCACCTATGTGATGCAAGAGAGAGGATAAGACTTACAAACTGAGTGAAGTGTTTGTCGCTGATGCTGCGGTGAGCTCTCTGGAAGCGCTCGGGATCCAGGACGCTACGTTCTGTGTAGATGTCGCCCAAACTGATGGCAGACAAGACATTCACAGACGCCGATTCCTAAAAAGAGATTCGGTCGAGGAAATAAAGTAAATTTTAGTTAGTTAGTTAATTCATTTCTTTAAAAACAACAATATAAATTCAACAAACAACAAAATGACAAATAAATTAAATGAAAGGTAGCAGAAGAAGAAAAAAAATCTTATATCTGCCCATTTTTCTCAAATAAAGAAATTCAACCAAAAATAATCTTTAGTTTACAAAAAAAAAAGGTTTAACTCGGTGAACTACAATTCATACATTTACATTTTTCTCCAGCAAATTAACCTTCATCATTCTCTTAAATATACTCATTGATCTGACATTTTTAATGTCATCTTCCAGATTATTCCATAATCTTATACCTGGACTCCGTTCCTTTTAACTGGTTCTAAATTTGGGTTTAACAAACATATCTATCCCCCTGAGATTGTAACAACTCTCTTTTTTTAACAAAGTGTAATTGAATGTTTGAAGGTAATGTGCTTTTATGAGCCCATACATGACTGATAAAATACCATAATCAACCAAATCATAGAATTTCAATAACTTCAACTGATGGACCAATGATAGTAATGCTTTCTGGTGATAATTCTAACAGCTCTTTTCTGTAAAACAAAAATTGGGTTTGTAATTGTTTTGCATGATTTTCCCCAAACATCAATACAGTAGATCAAGTGTGGAACAATTATTGCATTATATAATATAAACAGAMCTTTTTATCAAATGTGGTAAATGTATAAAAAGGCATGAAGTTACTGAAGTGACAATTATCACTTACCCTGATATGTTGCTGGTACAAGGAAATGTTTCTGATGAAAGACTTGATGAGTCTCTCCTGCAGCCTGAACTTTTTCTCCGCATCGTCAAATTCCTCACTTTTAACCTGCGGGGTGGGCGGGGCACGTTTCAGACATTTGATGCTCTTCCGCTCGTTTCAGACAAAACGAACTCTGTGCAGAGCAGAAACAAACCTGAAGCGAAATCCCCGTCAGRTGCTTGATGTGGCTGCTGACCCGGTTCGATTTTTTGATGATGGAGTGCATGCTCAGCTTGGAGATCTTGTCGATGAACGAGTCTTCGTCCCCCTTCCTGTACTTCACGACTGGGAACGGAAGAGGGCAAAGTTGAGGGGAAACTAAACTGAAATAATCGGACTCAAATTTAGGAGAAATATTCCTGAGACAGCTTTTTTTTTTTTTTTACCGAGATCCTTCCTGCGCTTGTACTCGTTGATGTTCACGTTGATGTCCTTGAYGGCCTGCACAGCTTTGGTCAGCTGGGGCCGGTCGTGGTGGCTCTCTGGCGTGGCCCCCAGCAGCTCTGTCAGCAGCAGTGGGTAACGCATCACCCGCTGCACCGGCTTAATCAGGAAGGAGCCCAGGTTGATGTAATTGGCTTTGCCCCTGGAAGACAAACGCAGACGCAAAACTATATATTTCTGTTGGCTTCTTTGGCTGCGGGAATTAAAGTCATCATGATAGTCGCAGACAAGAAGAAATATTTTTGTCTCAGTCATGGAGACGTGACTGAGAAAAATATGATCAGTGCTTTGTTTGGAAGATCTTAAAGAGTATGAAAAGGCAGATAAAATTGATTTGCTTRGGTGTAATGAAACCCACATGACAAACAGGTTTTGCAACTATTATTGTGGTGGAATCTAATGATTCAATATGTATTAGGGCCACTTAAGGAAGAGATTAGGAAATATACTTGTCTTTCAAACTTAATCCAGAGGAAGTAAATTCCCCTGAGAAATTGAGTAAATAGTTTGCTGATTTAGTTGGAGCTGCTGGTTAAAAACAAAGTTCCCGTTACAGTCATGTAGGTGGCACTGTTCCTCAAAAATCAACCATCTGTTTTCTGACCCATCCAGATTGGGAAGAAAAGGGTTCATGGAGATTAAACAGAGCACTTCTCTGAACAACACAACGGTAAACAACACACATGCAGAAAGCAAGCAAAGCCACATGAATGAACCCATGTTCAACCAGCAGAGAAGTTTCTGAAGCCCACTCTGATCCGGAGCAGGTAAACACACACACAGGTCGTTTTCACAGGGGTTTAGTGAGCGACAGGCATGCAGGCAGGAATATTATGCTGGAACTCATTATGGAGACTTACCATTTGCGGTATATGGCCCTGTTGGAAGGAGGGGGAAGAAATAGAAAAGATGACAGAAGACAAGTTTTACACTGCAAGTGTGACGAGTTTTTCCAACAACTTTTTGATTTATCTCAGTCTAACACCAGAGTCTGCTTCTGTGCAGAACTACAAAATTTGTTGAACCGGTTTCTGAAACGTTGCAGCACTTGCACCACATCCACGATGCAGACAAAGGTTTGTACTGAAGCAGGTGGCAACTTTAAACCCATAAAATAATAATAAAACAATTGTAACATGTTTCTTTTTCAAAACCCTGCCGATAAACAATTAGCAGTGAACAGAGACTCAGCTGCTCGTTGTCTTGTTTTATGTGTACGGAGCCACAGCGTCTTTGTTCTGCAGCTTCCCGTCTAGCAAAAGACGTGTTTATCTTCAAACAGGCTATACAGCGGGTAAAATAAGTATTGAACACGTCACCATTTTTCTCAGTAAATATATTACTAGAGCTGCTAATGACATGAAATTTTCACCAGATGTTGGTGATCAGATGGTTCTTGTGTGACACCTGGCCATCATTTGGGACTGAACCAGCTGATATTAATTTGCACTGACAAGGGGCA